TTGTTCTTGGTCAAACTTTAAATAACTCCCGATGGTGGTACAGTACTGACGGCCAACGCCTGCAGTTACAGAGTTTGCTTGGCAAAAACTACAGTAGAAATTGATTTAGCAAGTGGATATTGTGGGTTTATCAATATCACCAGTCGAATGTACCATCCCAAGACTCTGCCCTCACCTGCAGCTGTGTCAACCTGTGGTTCTTTGTTTAGTCTTTGCAGGCTCATGCAGTGGTGTTTGTATATTTTAACATAGGAAGGATTATTTATTGTTCTGAAAAACAGAACGTTGCTGCTTTTTCATTGACATCGTGTTAAATTGAAAATATTCCAGATGTTACTGAGACTTTATTAAGGGTTATTTTCTAGTTCTCAAAGAATCAATTAATATAATGAGCAGATGAATTGAACGTTTTCAAGTAGCAAGAGTGTTTCAAATAATGCAAATATTTCAAACACCATCTTACATTTCTGCAGAGGGTCATTAGCATGTGTAGGCAGTTAGGTCTGAATGTAAAGCCAAAAATGAAGACAAATGGTGCCATTGGGTGCATTAATCTAAAATACAATATCCAATGGAGCTCGCCCTCAAGCAAATGCTCTCAAGATTTCAGTTTGTCAAACAAGTGCAAGATGCATGTCAAAAGCTGTTAAAGGGAAAAATTAGCTGACTTTTAACAAATAAGGCTGTCTCTCCAAAATCCCTAAATGCCATCAGTTATGCAGTGAAGACATTTGTCATGAATGAAACTACGAATGTAAAAGGTTCTGGTGAAATATTTTTACGTCCTGCATGGCAATCTCAGTTGTGACGTCTTTCTATACTTTCCCCTCCTCACAATCTAGAAAAACAGGCCTTCGTGCAAAGCACTGCCATCCATCCATCCATCCATTTTCAAACCGCTTATCCTGCACTCAGGGTCGCGGGGGGGCTGGAGTCCATCCCAGCCAACTTCGGGCGATAGACAGGGTACACCCTGGATTGGTCGCCAGCCAATCGCAGGGCCACACAGAGACAGCAAAGCACTGCAAGCACTCCAAAACGGTTTAAAAACGGTTTAACTCATCTTTGGATTGCGGAAATATTTAATTTTACGGCGTGGTGTCCAGGCAGAGGGCATACAAGGAGATCATCCAGAAATGACTGCTGTGCGATTTGATAAAATGCCGCAGTGGACTAAGCTGCACTGGCATGTTGTGATGAACTGAAAGCCTCTTAGGGGACCAACTACATCCTCCACTTGCCCTTTTCCACCTGACACGGACGTTCAGGAGCCAAATCCAGATGTGCAACAGAGTTCATCTCCATCTTCCTGCCATAAACATTTCCCTCAAAAACTGCCGTTGAAGCTAATTGTATTATTTGTTAAAACTAAAAAACTAATGTTGTTAAAGAATTATTCCTCAATTTATGGCATAGAAATAGAAACTCCCACTTCAACCTCTTTCCCATACGTCCAAAGTGCCAGTGATGTCTGCTGATCAATTCCATAAATCATAATGTTGTTTTGCAGAATTTTGGCCTATACCTTGTGTGTGTGTGTGTGTGTGTGTGTTACCATTGATTTTTTTTAAATCTTTTCCTTTCTACTATTTTGGGTGTGAGGCAGATGAAGTGTGGGCGGCTTTCCTCCCTGAGCTAGAGGTGAATTTCTCTCATACGGAGTAGTAAGACCTCGCCAAGCAATCAGAAATACCAACTGCATGAAGATAAAAAAACAAAGGTTGAGCAACAATAAAGACAGATTATATATATAGAGAGAGAGAGAGCGAGAGAGACGTGATTGAATTCAGAGCAGAAAGATGTCCTTTCAATATTTAAGAAGCACTTCAATGTAGCCTTGATACTCTGAACTGTGTTGCAGGCAAGTATAAAGCTGTTTCCAACCATTTTTATCTCTGTACGATCAACGGTGTTCTAATATTTAGCCTTTTTCATAAGCCGGCTGTGCGCTGGAGGAGAAACCCCTGTGTTTCCGGGGGAATTGCTTAAGCAGCCCACTGTACAGCCTGTCAGATTGAGCAACGAGTCAGGACCGGATTTTAGGTGAAGCGCTTTCTATTGCGAGGGAGTTGGTGCGTAAGTCTTTTTTCGGTGCCCATTCAATGACAGCTGGTTATCATTCATCGGGACAGCCCTATTAGGGGATGTGGTCCTGCAGAAGCGCTGACGTGCTGAACTGCTGGCCCCCTCGCTGCCAGCGTTGTTGACATCCGAGCTTCCGCCGTGACAGATGGGCAGGTCGGGACACGTGAAAGAAAAAGTGCCAGAGGAGTTTCGGCGGTCGATGTCCCTTTGGGAGACGGTCAAGGACTCTGTGTTCATTAGAGGTCTGAGCTTGATCGGGACTGGTATCAGTTAATACAGACATCACTTATTTAGAACCTGTCAGTTAACGGTTATCAAGTATATGAACTAAAATGTCACTCTAATCAAATCATAGACCGTAATCGTCTCAACCGAGAGTTAGACATTTTTAGAAATAGATGACCATTTGAACACTTCTTCCTGTGGCAAGTAGCCATACTAAAGGTGCAACGACACACTTTAAGATCGGGTGAAATAAATAATAACGGACTGTCGGGATTCAGCAAAAGGTCACACAAGGCAGCCTGCGTCAACCGCTGACGCTGCAGCGCTGCCCATTCAACCAGCTGCAGGGACCCCATGCAATGGACAAGCTGCTCAATTATTTGAATTTTTCCTTTCTTATGAACACTGACCACTCGATAGGTCTTAACTCTGGTGATTACTCTGTTAAAAACCTCGCTGAGTTGCATTAAACCACTAATAAAGTTTCCCCTGTCTTAACAAGGTTGGGTCAAGGATTTTAGCCTCGGTTGCATTAATGGCCCTCTACACATAACACAGAGGCACGGAGTTTCTTTTGAAGGCCTTTAATTTGGTAGAAGCACCGTGGAACGATGCTCTTGAAAGCTTCGCCTTTCGATAATGAGAGTAAGCGTTTAAGTTATTCATTAGTGGTGCTCAGTGCTGGATCTCGAGGGCGCAAACAAGGCACGGACCTCTTAATTTACCCTGACCGGGGCCGAAAGGTCCAAACAACGCAGAGGCGTTCTGAAGCAGCCGAGCTTTAATGTGTCGCCGGTCTGCTGTGCAATAATACATATTTATAAAGGTGATGATCAAGTGCTCTCTTATGTTCTATTATCATATTCCCGCCGGAGGTGGCTTGTGGCTCTGCGTATTTAAAAGTTAATGACGAACATGTCGTCACCCTTCTGTTGGCACACTTGAGGTGATGAGTTTTGAAGGTTGGAAATGCGGGATTCAGAGCTAGTATTGCATTAAACAACTGTTTACGATACAAAGATATGATGGAGCAGAGGATCGGGTAAGTGGTTCATGGTTGTGTTACAAACAAAACTGTCCCTTCTCTGCTCCTCTCTTCCTCAGCGTTCAGTTACTGGACTGCTAATGGACCCTAACTAACGGGAAGTGGAAAGCAGAATATAACAAGCCACTGGAGACATCAAGCTGTTCTCCAGAGAGCCATTAGCCAAAGTTTCCATTTATTTATCCATACACCAAAGAAAGAGTGCAGTGGCTTCTTGCTAATTGCCAACAGAGCACAGTTAAGGAAGCTGGGGAGCTGCATCCAAGCAGACGACTCCCTCGTTGTCCCCGATGGTCGTGTTCCACTCTGTAATTTTCTGTGATGCACAAAGTGACGTAGGAGACGGCCGCTGTACCGACAGCCGGCGCCTTGCAGAGCGAAGAAGTTTGAGCGCTGACGTAGGAGATGATTCTGCGGTCCAGAGCGCGTGTCCGCGGTTTAACTGTGGCGTCGCGCGACGACGTGGCGAAGGAGATCGGCGCGTGGCAGGCCGCAGATGAGCCGAGTGACGGGGACTCCGGAAGATGGCTGCACAGTGGTGACGTGTGAGGGAGCTCCTTACGGCCCCGCCGTTGGAAAGGCAGACGCCGGCCGGCCTTGGCTGTCTCTCTGAGCTTTTGATGCCTCCACAGGAGACGAGCGCACCATTTTGTGGAGCGTAACTGACACCCGTGGAGTGCCCCAAGTAAGCCCCGGGGGAAGGGTACGGTTAAGCTGGAATACAAAACACTATAAAGCAGGTCATGTAATGGGCCTCTCATTTCGCACCTGTCTTTGCCAGGCCCACTGGAGGAAACCTAATTTATTTAATAGCCCGCTGCCTTAATGCCAGGCGTTTGGTGCACTAAAACAGAAGGCAGCAGCGATGAAAGCGTAGCGGGAGAGAGATGGAGGACAAACACTTTCCTCACATTTGCTGGCGAGATACAATTTCCAAAGTGAAGATCTGTGTCAGCCATCTGGTGATGGAGAATAGTGGGAAACCATGTCGACGAGCTATTTTCAATAATGCAAGGATGCATGCTGTCGCCACATAATTGACAGTTCAAGGGAAGACTTCTGTGAAACACTTTTTATGTATTCCATTTGCTTTCTTCTCAGTTCTTATTTAGCTGGAAAGCCAAGATGGAACTGGCTTCGACACAATGTCAGAGAAACCAAGCGCTCCATGTTTGAAGGGTGCCGTGGTAACTATTCAGTGTAAAATTCCTGTGCACAATGGCACTAGTGTGGCACACAATTCCGGATTTTTTGCACATCAGGTTCCAGCCTGTTTGGCAGCACGGCTCAATGGCTCTATCTGTCAATCCACCACTGTTTCACGATGGAATATCTCAACACCTACGTGTTGCATTGACTGCCATGCAAGTACAATGTAAACACATCTTTTCCTCTAGCCACAGCAAACCAAGAGGGTTGATCCTTCTATTCGGATCCGCTTTCAGAACATTTCGCACTGATTCATGTCGCTCAAGGATGAATCTAAATTTAGATTGTTTTTTGTGATTGTCATCAAATACCCGGAAAACTACTGACCTTCCCATCAGTCACAGCTATACTCTGTGTTTAATTTTACACACGGCAGATAGGTGAAGAGAAACTAATAAAGAACAACTAAAAATAGTGCAAAGAAAAACTTGCCAGGTATATTTGTGGTATTTTATTGATTCATTGTTTGAATATAATTACAATATGCCACATTTGTGTCATAATGTAAGACCAATCCATTCACCAATGGCTAAACATAAACAAAAGAGAAAGCACCCAATGTGATTATACACAAATACAATTGAAGTTAAGAAAATAATGTGATATTAACCACTATTACATTTCTCACATCCAAAGGCATTGAAGAAACACAGGAAATTGCACATTTAACAGAATTTGATTGATCCGAGAAGAATGGTGATTATCGGGGTTGGGGTATTGCCCATTTCATCTACCACATTACGTTATTGGTAGTAGTGATGTAATTGGGGATAGTCACAGCGATTTGTGGCTTCTACATAGACCAAATTTGCTGGGCATTGTAGGATGTAGGTTAGTCCAGCTACACAGCTGAGGAAAGAATGTTGGTCATTGGGGTTGGTGTACTGCCCATCTTTTCTTCCATAGCAGTATGTTGCCTTGTTAACTGGACTATCGGGAAAGGCACAAACGCTAATGGCTGCGTTGTAGACCAAATTTGCTGGGCATTGTCGGATGAATTCTTTTCCAGCTACACAGTAGAGGAAAGATTTGTCGTCGTTGGGGTTGGGGTATTGCCCATTGGGTTTTCCAGTGCAGAGGTTTCCAGGGTTTCCAGAGTTTCCAGGGTTTCCAGGGTTTCCAGGGTTTCCAGGGTTTCCAGGGATTCCAGGGTTTCCATAACCTGAAACTGTTATTGTCACACATGTGTTAGAAGCTCTTGAAAACCTGAAAGGACCCACATTTTCACTCTCATAACACAAATGTATAAATGTAATAAAAAGTGGTTACATTACAGATGATTTCATTGAATCATATGGTGAAAACAACTTCCCCATCCTGGTTTTCCAGCAATAATTAAGTTAAATACTTCATTCATCTCATACAGTGAGACTGTTGATTGTGAACTCTACGTGTTATAAACTTACCCAAGCTGGCGATGATCAAACAGAGAGCTGGAAAGTGACACACTTGTTAGTATGGCGTTTAAACTAAGCTTAAGAGGGGCATGTGCCAAGAAGTAGTTGAACCCCTTTGGGACATCTTTTGCTTTTCCGATTGAACCTTAACAATCTCAATCCTGGCAAGCAGCCCCGTGAAGCTAGTTATCCACTTTGTAAATCAAACAAGGGTTTCCAAATCTCACGATGAGCCTGTTCACTTAAAACGGCACGTGTTTACAGCATCTGACCGATCACAAACACGGAAAAGTCTGCCATGAGCAGAGTGCTGCAATCTACAAACAAAGAATTAACTGTAATTTTGGAGAAAAAATGTATTTCACGCTGAAAAGCACCATGGTTTCAAATGATAAATTAGAGAAGGACAACAGGAAAAAAAAAGAACCCTACTATGTTACTGCATAAATTAACAGATCTACAGTATCAGCGCTTCATAAAGCACCATGCAATTACACTCAGATCTATCATGCTCTTGATGAAGCAGTGATTTAAAAATCAGTTAATTCATACATTCTTAGTTACTTGCAGGCTGTCTTTGTTGCACGTGTCTGTTTAAATTGTCTTCATTTTAGTCTGAATTATTTTAAATTGTGTGATATTCATGTGCAAATACTAGGGATTGCTTTCATGTGAGCTGATATCTCATCTGTAACATAACCTGTTCCGAAGTAGGGTAGGTGTTGAGCATACGTAACCATGGCAATCTATCCAGCTAAAAAGTGTACATTTGTCATGTAACTGAAAACCCAGATTGAACCATCACATTATAGGACCAGCCCAAATTCTGCGGCCCTCAGCTAAGTTCCCCAACATTAAACAAGAGCAAATGAAAAATTAACACAGGTATTTTCACTTTCATCTGCTGGTCTGTAGTATTACAATTTAGATTTTTATTTGGCAAGAGTATTAAAGTGATACTCTCCGATGTTTGTATAGTCACCAAATTACATTGGATTTGAATGGAATTTTGTTTAACATTTAAAAAATAAGAGTTATTTATAGTCTTGATAATTAACACTCTGCGGTGTGAGGATCGGGAAGAGTATATAATATATTCCTTTCAATTGAACTTTGAACTGAGAGGCTAAAAATTCAAGTATCCACTAAGCAATTAGATGTTGGGCCAATTCAAGCACAGGAGCTTGTAAAGACAATGTTGGGCTGGTGAGGCCGCTGCTTGGTAAGTTACCAAAGAACCAAGTTAGAAAATATGTTTTTTGATTTGGTTAAACTGGCCCTTTTTATTCAAACATTTACTTCATCAGTGTGCTTACCTGCAGTTAGAGTGAGCTTGCACATTTTGACACGGTTTGGATGCGCTGAAAGAGAAGCATTCGGTTAATATGCAGCGTAAAAAATGTGAACACATGATTCATTTGACAAATCCTCATCCTGAGCAATTCGCGACGAAAATATTTAAGATACATTCTCGCCTAGATTAACTTTTATAATTGAAAAATTGCCTGTAAATGTACAATAGAACTGTGAAACACCAAATGTATGACTGTAGAGTAGGAAGGACATGCTGATGCTCGGCACAAACCCACACATACAGTGTCCCTGTGTTTTATGCAGGTATAGCAATATACAAGCACAAAAAGTCATTAGTTAAAAGTGGATGGTTAGGATCAAAGTAAAAAGTATACTTACAATGGTGAAGGAAGCAAACACTGTCTCTGCTGTGTCTGGTGACTGACCAATGACTTGCAGCGATGCTTTATATGGTTGAGGAGCTGACATGGTGTGACAAATATGTAGATCACAATGTTGTGCACAATTATGCAGCTGTTAATTAATTATTTTGGAGTCTTTTGGAACGAAATCAAACACCCGACTAAGGTGGCACTTGTGGTTTGGCATCTGACCAGAATGCCTCCTAGATGCCTCCCTTTTTTTAATTTTTCTTGGTATTTCCAACTAATAAGAAACGTCGTAGCTGACAGGAGTGCCAAACAACGTGGTCATTGCTCTTAAGGTTTAACCCTGTTGTGCGCTCATATGTCTGTGTGCATATGTACCCAATGGACCCTATAAGGTTATGCATGAAAATCCCAGTAGATCAACATGTTCTGAAAAACTCAAACCAGCCTGTCCGGCAGCAACAGCCCGGGCATGTTCAGAGTCCCATTTCTTCCTCATTCTGATGCTTGTTTTAAACTTTGGCAGATTATCTGTTATGGATTGTCTCTGACCCCAAGTGCACGACACCAGACACAGCTTAGGTTTAGCCGGAAAACGGCGTAGTTTATTTCACAAAATAACCAAATACGAGAAACAAACAAAAAAAAGGCAACTCCAAAAACTTCTCTAGTCCGTGGGCGCTCTTAGTCCAATCAAAAAATGAAAACTCACACGATACTCACAGGGAAAACAAAAACTCTGCGTAGGGAATTCCGGAAGGGTTTCCAAGAGGAGCACAGGGGAAGAACAATCAACCCTCTCTGGGGAAACACAGAGCACGAACTCACAGCGAGCCACTGGCAGATCTGCTTCTTAACCTCCCTGTGGGATGAGCTGACGAGCGGCAGCTGTGGCGATGAGCAGAGCGGCGTCAGGTGTGCGACTCTCTGGCTGGTCGAGCCCTAACACTACCCCCCCCTCCAAGGGAGCCACCCGGCGACTTGCCAGGCTTCTCGGGATGGGCTCGATAAAAGGCGGTCAGAAGCCCCGGGTCCATGATGAGCCGGCGAGATACCCAGCTACGGTCCTCCGGGCCATAGCCCTTCCAGTCCACCAGGAACTGGTACCCTCGCCCCCGACGCCGAACGTCCAACAGTCGGCGAACCCTCCACTGAGGGTGCCCATCCACGATTGTGGGTGGAGGTGGGTCCGGGGCAGGAGGCATCAGAGGACTGCAGGCGACGGGCTTAATCCTTGATACGTGGAACACAGGATGGATCCGCATAGAAGCCGGTAGTCTCAGCTTCACTGCGGCAGGACTGAGCACCTTCGTGACCTCAAAGGGGCCCACGAAACGGGGGTCCAGCTTCTTGGCGGTTGACTGCAGGGGAAGATCCTTGGCGGACAGCCAAACTCTCTGCCCGGGGTGGTATGTTGGCGCTGGGTTCCGGCGACGGTTGGCCCCCCGGCTACTACGTTCAGCCGCTTGGAGTAGAGCGGCTCTGGCGACTCCCCAGATGCGACGACATCTGTCCAGATGAGTCTGTACCGACGGAACTGCCACCTCAGGTTGTTGTGCCGAAAACAGCGGTGGCTGGTACCCCAGCGACACCTCGAAAGGGGAGAGACCTGTGGCAGAGCTGACAAGGGAGTTAATCGAGTACTCAACCCATGGGAGGAACCGACTCCAGGAGGACGGGTTCCTGGCAGCCACACAGCGGAGTGCCGTCTCCACACACTGGTTCATCCTCTCCGTCTGCCCGTTAGTCTGTGGGTGATAACCAGAAGAGAGACTGACAGAGGCGCCCAACCCCTTGAAGAATGCCCGCCATACCTGGGATATGAACTGAGGTCCTCTGTCCGAGAGCACATCCTGGGGGAGGCCATGGAGCCGGAACACATGGCTCATCAGGAGGTCCGCCGTCTCTGACGCCGAAGGGAGTTTGGGGAGGGCCACCAGGTGCACCCCCTTACTGAACCGATCTACTATTGTTAATATCACCGTCCTACCCTGGGAGGCCGGTAATCCAGACACAAAGTCCAAGGCCACGTGGGACCAGGGACGGCTAGGAACAGGGAGGGGTTGCAGCAGCCCGGCAGGTGCCTGGTGAGAGGCCTTGCTGCGGGCACAAACGGGGCAGGCCAACACAAAGTCCCTCACCTCGTTCCTCATTGTGGGCCACCAGAAACGTCGAGCTAGGAAGGTGAAGGTGCGGTGGACCCCGGGATGACAGGCAAACTGGCTGGCGTGGCCCCACTGAAGTACCCGGGGCCTGACAGATTCCGGGACGAAAAGCCTACGTGGGGGTACGCCACTCGGTGCAGGGTGGGAGCGCAGCGCCCCCCTCACGACAGTCTCGATGCCCCAGGCCACCATGCCGATCACCCGGGTCTCGGGGACGATGGGTGCCGCCTCCTCGGTGGCCAGTCCCCCCCCCTGGTGTAGTCGGGACAGGGCATCCGCTTTGATGTTGCGGGAACCGGGACGATAGGTCAGGGAGAAATTGAACCGACTGAGGAAACCGGCCCAACGAGCCTGTCGCCCATTGAAACGCCTGGCCGCCCGGATGAATGTCAGGTTCTTGTGGTCTGTCCAAATGGTAAATGGCTGCTCTGCCCCCTCCAGCCAATGGCGCCACTCCCCCAGAGCAGCTACTACTGCCAGCAACTCCCGATTACCGATGTCGTAGTTCATCTCCGCGGGAAGAAAACGCCGGGAGAAGAACGCGCAGGGGTGCACCTTCTGATCTCCCACCGCCCGTTGGGAAAGGACTGCCCCCAGCCCGGTGTCCGAGGCGTCCACCTCAACAATGAACTGTCGCTTTGGGTCGGGATGGAGCAGCACTGGGGCGCTAGTGAACCTCCTCTTGAGTGACCGAAAAGCGGCGTCGGCGGCCGGGGACCAGATGAACGGCTGGGAAGAGGAGGTCAGCCTGGTGAGGGGTTCTGCCACGACGCTGTAGTTCCGTATGAACCTTCTGTAGAAGTTTGCAAATCCCAGAAAGCTCTGCAACTTCTTTCGCGACGTAGGGCTCGGCCAGTCTACCACCGCCTGGATCTTGCGGGGGTCGGCCCGCGTCTGCCCTCTCTCCACAATGAAACCCAAGTAGTCGACAGAGGCGGAGTGGAAACGGCACTTCTCAGCCTTGACAAAGAGTCTGTTCTGGAGGAGACGCTTGAGCACCCGACGAACGTGCTGGACATGCTCCTCGAGAGTCCTGGAGAACACCAGGATGTCATCGAGGTACACAACCACGAACTCATCCAGCATGTCGCAGAGCACGTCGTTCATGAGCGCCTGAAAAACCCCCGGGGCGTTGGTAAGGCCGAATGGCATTACGCGGTATTCGTAATGACCTCGGGGTGTCTTGAAGGCGGTCTTCCACTCGTCCCCCTCTCTGATCCGGACCAGGTGGTAGGCGCTCCGGAGATCCAGCTTGGAAAAGATGGCAGCCTGGGTCAGGGGCTCGAGGGTGGAGCTCATGAGGGGGAGGGGGTACCGGTTCTTGACCGTAATGTCATTTAGTTGGCGATAGTCAATGCAGGGTCGGAGACCCCCATCCTTCTTCTTCACAAAGAAGAACCCCGCTGCCACCGGTGAGGATGAAGGCCGAATGAGCCCTGCTGCCACTGACTCCGAGATGTAATCATCCATGGCGGCCTTTTCAGGAATGGACAGGCTGTACAACCGACTGCTGGGAAGGGGGGCCCCTGGGCGGAGGTCGATTGCACAGTCGTATGGCCTATGTGGAGGGAGAGACTGAGCCCGAGACTTGCTAAAAACCTCTCCCAGATCATGATATTCCCGAGGGACAGCGGAAAGGTCCGGGGAGGGGGCACGGGGAGTCGGGCGGGGTGACGGACTTGGAGCTGCCTGGAGGCACTGGGCGTGACAGGAGGCGCTCCACTCCAGAATAGTCCCAGAGGACCAGGCAATGTGTGGCTCGTGCTGCACGAACCAGGGGTACCCGAGAATCACTGGGGCCAACGGGGACTGGATGAGGTAGAATTGGCGGGTCTCTACATGGTTACCCGCCACAGTGAGGGAGACTGGGTGGGAGCATTGGGTGATGCGGGCTAGATGACGGTCGTCCAGTGCAAAGGCCTCTAAAGGCTTCTCCAGTGTCCTCAGTGGAATGTTAGCCTGGACAGCGAAACCCAAATCCAGGAAACAGTCATCCGCCCCTGAATCGAGGAGGGCCCCTACCGTAATCCGTTGATCTGCCCAAGCCAGGGTGACGCTAACCCGCCGGTTAGGTGATGCAGGACTACGGGAACACGAAAGGCGGCTCACTAGGATCTCCCGGGGTCCTGGTGAGCCTAATCTTTTGGCCGTGTGGGACAGCCGCTGATGCGATGCCCCTTCTGGCCACAGTAGAGACACAGCCCTCCCCTGAATCGGGCCTCCCGTTCGGCTGGGCTGATGCGCGTGCGTCCCAGCTGCATGGGCTCCTCCTCGGTTGCTGTCTGTGACGTGGAAGGCCGGACGGGACTGGGGGAAGTCGAATGGGCGACCGGGTTCCTCTCCCGTGTGCTGAAGATGTGGGGGATAGGGAGGGGTCCCCGGGGAACTCGCTCCCGCCTTCTCTCATTAAGGCGTCCATCGATGCGGATGGCGAGACTGACGAGGTCGTCGAGGGAGGCGGGCTCCTCCCGTGTAGCTAGCTGGTCCTTCACTGCCTCGCAGAGTCCCCTTCGGAAGGCAACCCGAAGGGCTGGGTCGTTCCACCCGCTTTCTGCAGCGGCCAGTCTAAAATCCACTGAGTAGTCCGCCACCGAGCCGCTGCCTTGTTGGATGCTGGCCAACCGGGCGCCGGGGTCCTTACCCCTTACTGGATGGTGGAACATCTTGCGGAGCTCGGCCACGAACTCCCTGTAGGAGTGACGGAAACTGGCACCCATGGACCAGGAAGCGGCAGCCCACTGGGCGGCCCGGCCGGTAAGCAGGTTCGTCACATATGCGACTCGGGCAGCGTCGGAGGTGTAGCGGCTGGGTTGGTGAGTAAACACCAACTCACACTGCATTATGAAGGTGGCACAAGTCTCGAAGTCACCCCCGAACGGGTGTGGGCTGGAAAGGCAGGGTTCCCAGGGTAACGAGGCAGGTTCCGCAGGGCT